TGAAACTTGAAAGGCAGCTGAATGCAAGAGGCAGGAGAGGCAGGGAGCAGCAAGCCCAACTGCTTCCTACAAGACAGACAAAACAGGTCCAGAGATGCCATGTGACTTGGCTGTGGCTGCACAGCTGTAGGGCGGGTTAGTGCCTGAGCCTGGGGTAGGGAGGACCCCATGACCTTCCCTCCACTCTGTATTCCTACTCCTTTGGAAATGTTCCAAGTAGAATTGGGGACTTAAATTTTTTTACTGAGGTCCTGGGAGTTCTCAATACTATTAATCACACTTTCATACATCCATCATTTCAACGCGAGATAGACCGCTTCCCTCCACCAGTGTCCCAAAAACCCCTCCGAACTGCATCTCCCCATGTAAGCTCAGTTCTATAGACAAGACCTTTAGTGCCAATAGTTCCCTTACTATGTTTATTTTTTTATCCCACTATGGGGGGGGGGGTATCTCTCTTTGTCTCTGTCTCTCTCTCTGATGACACCCAGGCACATACAGAAAAGAGCTGATTTCCTGAAATTTCACAAAATTGTAAATCAATAATGGCTGGTAAATAATATTTTTTTAAAAAGGAAATCTTTTCTTTTTTAGAAGTATATAAAATTAAACAACAAATATTATTGATAACTGCTGTTGCATTTTAAAATTTGCATGAAATAGATAAAATGTAAAATTTAGTAAGAGTGAAGAGAATTAAAAAAATGTAAAGGGGAGAATCTGACTAGGCCTAAAAAAGTATAAAGTGTGTGTGTTTTTTAAAAAAAAATTTATTTATTTTTGCTTTTTTGGGTCACACCTGGCGACACACAGGGGTTACTCCTGGCTCTGCACTCAGGAATTACTCCTGATGGTAGTCAGGGGGAACCATATGGGATGCTGGGGATCGAACCCAGGTTGGCCATGGGCAAGGCAAATACCCTATCCGCTGTGCTATCGCTCCAGACCTAAAACGTGTTTTTAAAGGTGGTTCTGCCCTGAATTTCAACCAGGAGAGCATATGGAAGTAGATTCATAAGGGAGGAGAAAGTAAGAAATAAGAATATTATGAGGCTGGGGCTGGAGTGATAGCACAACGGGGAGGGCGTTTGCCTTGCATGTGGCTGACCCGGGTTCGATTCCCAGCATCCCATATGGTCCCCCGAGCACCGCCAGGAGTGATTCCTGAGTGCATGAGCCAGGAGTAACTTCTGTGTATCGACGGGTGTGACCCAAAAAGCATAAAAAAAAATAATAAAAATAAGTAAATAAAGCCTTTGAAAAAAAAGAATATTATGAGGGGCTTGGGCTAATAATACAGTGGGTAGGGAGTTTGCTTTGCTTGCAGCTGACCTGGGTTCAATCCCTGGCATCCCATATTATCTCCTGAGCACCACCAAGAGTAATTCCTGATAGCAGAGTCAGGAGTAATCCCTGAGTATTGCTGGGTGTGACCAAAAAAAAACAACAAAAAAAGAGTATAGTGAAGTCCTTTTTTCAGCCAGGAGTATGTGTGCTAAAAGGTAGTGAGGGCGTATGTCTGGGACCAGGAGAAGGCTGGTATCCTGGACAGCCTTGGGAAGGGCCACCCCACCTTCCTCCTCTTGAACTTGTCTCCTATATCCAGTCACAGAACGCTCAGAACTGCAGAGAATCAGGGGCTTGGTAGGATGACTGGGAATGAGGAGCTGGGGCTCTGAACTGGATTTAATGCTCTAGGATCTTGGAAACAGGGCTGAAAGCTAGAAGGCTCTGGCCTCACCCCTTCCTTCCTGAAGAAATACACTCTCCAAGGTAACCAGTGAGCAATATATATATATATATATATATATATATATATGTGTGTGTGTGTGTGTGTGTCTGTGTATGTGTGTGTGTGCACACACAGAGATATGATCACGTTTGCATCACCGCAGCCACATGTTGAGAAATCTCCCATTTCATAGAGGCGATAATTGAGGGTCGGAAAAATGAAGTATTTTGTCCCCAGAAATATGGCGGAGCCCTTTCATTTCACAAATGAGGCACCTGGTCAAATCTAGGATTAAAGTAAGCCAGCCTCCTCGGGGGCTATTCTGGTATTTTGTGACACCACTTTGGAAAACACAAAAAGACAATGAAGAAACTAATTAAAACAAGCACCTCTTTTCCACACACCTCAGCCTTCCTGCAATAAGCCTCTGGTGGCCTATTGGCTGTTTCTTCTCCAGTGAGATGAAAGCATTGTGGTCAAACCCACCATGGCTATTTAATCAAACAACATTCAGCCACAATTTATTTCTATAACAGCCAGTCACCATGCTGGTGATAGAGATACAGGACCACTGAACACATAACTCCAATTAGAACAAAGTGCTCTGTAAACCTCAGACCAGGAGTGAAAAACACTCGAAAGTACAGGGCCATGTTTAACTTCCTGGCTGTACTGATGTTGGTTATACAACTTAGAACAATCACTTAGTTTCTTTGAGCTTTAGTTTCCTCATCTGTAAAAGAGGATTCAGATCCATGTCCTAGGAGAGTCCATGAGAGGTGGAATGGAGACACTCTTCCCGTGTTCACGTGGAGGAAATGAGTGTGCATATTTCCATGGGGATGTCTGCAGATCTTTTAAGTGTGGAGATTGTCCCTTGAGTATTGTCTTGAGATCTTCCTGAAGCAGGAAAGCGCTCCCTCCAGTGACTCAAGCAAAATCGATGAGAACTGCAGCCCTGGTGACTGAGCTCCTGAAGTTTAAATCTCACTTCATTCTTTTTAGCTTAAGTTGTCACATGTCCTGATTCGGGTGGCATGTCACTGCTTGCCAAGACCTCCCCTGATTTCTCCTTTCCTTTCCCCTTGCTATGGCTGGGATGACCAGGAGCTGCAAGCTTGGTTTTGATGCTTGTATGTACCTAGTCACGGTGCTGCAGACTGCACTCTTGCTAGAAGTAGGGATCCCACACAGCACTGTCTCTTGTGTGTCACTCAGCACCCTCAAGTGTGTCAGGCAGATGCTTTTTTGTTTGGTTGGTTTTGATCCATACCCGGAAATGCTCAGAGGTTACACCTGGCTCGGCACTCAGGAATTATTCCTGGTAGTGCCCGAGGGACTATATGGGATGCCGAGGATCAAACCCCAGTTGGCCTAGTGCAAGGCAAACACCCTACCCACAGTACTATCTCTCTGGCCCAGACAAGGGCTTTACTACTGAGCTATCTCCAGGTCTCTCTAGTTTGTTTTATCTCACAGATACCTATGAAAGAAAAAAACATAAGAGAAATCATTCTCTTCTTTAATTCTGTAATCTCCCACATAAGGAAATAGGTGAGACTCACCTAGAGAGATCTTGCTAAAACAGTTTGTGGACCCCCACCAGAGTTTCTGGCTGAATTCTATAATTCTGGGGTCGAGCCAAGATTTTCATTTCTAGAACCTTCCCAGGTGCTGCATGTCCAGGAAGCATATTTTCAGAACTGAAGGTTGATTAACTATCTTGTTTGCAGAGCGCTATGCTACAACGAACTCTGTAGGTGTGCAGTCCACTGGTCCACTGACTCTGATCCCTGGGGACACAGTTTTCAATTTTGGCTACCTTCTGAAATTACCTGGAAAGCTTTTAAAATTCCTGATGATTAGATCCACCCCAGACTAGTTAGATCAGCATCTTTGTGGCTTTATTTTTTTTTTAAAGCTCTCTAGAAAGTCAAGACTGAAAACCACTTCACTAGTGGCTTAAGAAGTAGCTTGGACAAGCGTGATAACTTCTCAGTATCTGCATTGCAAACCATAAAGCCCAAAAGTAGAGAGAGAATATGGGGAATATTGTTTGCCATGCAGGCAGGGAGAGGGTGGGAAAGTGGGGGTATACTGGGGATATTAATGGTAAGAATGTGCACTGCTGGTGGTGTGGGTGTTTGATCATTGTGTGATTGTAACTCAAACATGAAAGCTTGTAACTGTATCTCACGGTGATTCAATTTAAAAAAATTAAAGAGAAAAACGAAAAGAAAGAAGTAGCTCAGCGAGTTGGTGTACAGACTTTGCATGTGTGCTTGAGCGCAAACCCTGGTAGCACATGGTCCCCTGAGCACCACCAGAAATGACCCCTGAGCAGAGAATTGGGATTAGCCCCTATGTACTACTGGAGGTGGCCAAAAAAAAAGAAAAGAAAACTGTTGGGGTCTGGAGCGATAGAATAGGGTGTAGGTATTTGCCTTTCATGCGGCTGACCCAGGTTTGACCCCCACTATCCCATATGGTCCCCCAAGCACCACCAGGAGTGATTCCTGAGTACAGAGCCAGGAGTGACACCTGAGCATTTCAAGGTTTGACCCACAAAGCGAAAGAAAGAAGGAAAGAAGGAAGGAAGGAAGGAAGGGAGGGAGGGAGGGAGGGAGGGAGGGAGGGAAGGAAGGAAAGAAAGAAAGAAAGAAAGAAAGAAAGAAAGAAAGAAAGAAGGAAGGAAGGAAGGAAGGAAGGAAGAAGGGAGGGAGGGAGGGAGGGAGGGAGGGAGGAAGGAAGGAAGGAAGGAAGGAAGGAAGGAAGGAAGGACGGGAAGGAAAGAAAGAAAGAAAGAAAGAAAGAAGGAAGAAGGGAGGGAGAGAAAGGAGGGAGGGAGGGAGGGAGGGAGGGAGGAAGGAAGGAAGGAAGGAAGGAAAAAAACCTATTGTTCTAGTGGGACTTAAGCTAATTTATTTAGCATTATATGATAAGAAAATACTCTATTATACCACAGGGCCACTGTAGATGGTACTGAATGCAAAAGAATTTTTTAAAAAATGAAAGTCAGGTTTGGGCCAGAAATAGCTCAATGGGGTGGTCATCGTGCTTTGTAGACAGAAAGCCTGGTTCAATCCCTGGCGTCTCATGGTTCCCTGAGCACTGTTAGGAGCAGTACCCAAGCACAGAGCCAGTCATAGCCTCTGAGCCTCAGGGGGTGTGACCCAAAATGGGGCAGGGTATCAAAACAAAGACTGAGGATTAATAGTTTTGGAAGAGCCAAGGATCCTAAGGCTGCGGTGTGTGGTTTGCTTTCCAGTACTGTCCCACTGACCAGGCCGCAGCAGGCACAGATGCTGAGCACGTCCAGCAGTTCTACAACCTTCTGACCGCCTCCATTGACGTGTCCAGAAGCTGGGCAGAAAAGATTCCCGGATTTACTGATCTCCCCAAAGAAGATCAAACGTTACTTATAGAATCAGCCTTTTTGGAGCTGTTTGTTCTCAGACTTTCCATCAGGTAATTATTACTGTTTCACCTCACTCCTTTCTTTCAAGAAGTTTGAAACTTGCTACGTTTATGAGTCTCCTGTGAAAGGTTCGCTCAATGGGAAGTGTGCATAGGATCTGGCATTAAAAATCTGAGCAGAGAGATGGTCTGTGTTGCATGCAGTCACCACTAGTTTGATCCCTGGCACCATGCATGGTCCCCCAAGTACCACCAGGAGTGATTCCTGAACAGAGTCAGGAGTGAGCCCTGTGCACAGCCGGGTGTGACCCTAAAACCTAATAAAACAAACAAAAAACCCCCCAAAACTACAACCTGGCATAAATAAAGTCTATAGGAGCATTTATAATTGTTTCTTCCTAGCTTCCTTTAATTTGCTGATTTTTAGGAGATGGAACCACCATTTTTTACCAAACTTCATAGGAAAAAATATCCTCCTTCCCTGTCTTTCTATTCCCTACCTATTCCTCTGCAGTTTCATCTGCTACCAGACACTTTCACATAAAATACAGATTCCTGTGCCTCATTTCCAGCTATTCGGTTTGGAGTTGCCTTGGGGAGTGTCCAGAATCTCTTTTTGTTTCTTTTTAAACCATGCTCCTATGATTCTGATATTGGTGAACTGACATCCAGGTTCCTGACTCTGAAACTCACTCTATCTTGTGTGCCTCTCTGGAGGATCTGTGGGCAAGACAGCAATAGATTTTCGGCTAGAATGCTAGTAATGGGCATAATTTATGCCAATCTCAGAGCACAGGAGCTGAGTCAACAATGTAGCTGTGATCTGTTAGGTGGGCAGCAAAGCAGGTGATAAGCTTGACGTGGGCAGACCCCTTTCAGCAAATTTTCTCCAGTGCCTGGCCCAGGAGGCTCAGGGTGCTCAGGACATATTTGCTCAGTAAAAGAATGAATCCAATCTTCATCCAGAAGCACCATTAAGGAGAGAATGACTTGTTGATAAAGAGAGACAAAGATGTGGCAAGAGTTTTAAAAGTTAAAGGAAAGCAGGGCTGGGGTTGGATGTGGTGGAGAAAATGCTTTGTATGTATGAGGCCTTGGATTCCAAGGAGGGAGGGAAGGAGGGAGGGAGGGAGGGAGGGAGGGAGGAAGGAAGGAAGGAAGGAAGGAAGGAAGGAAGGAAGGAAGGAAGGAAGGAAGGTTGGGTTACACTAATGTAAAGACTAGATTCAGAATCAATTCCACACTCAATACTCATTGAACTCCTCTTGTGTATCAGGCACCGTGCCTTAAGTCCTTCATTTCATCCTCATAATAACCTTAGTAAGTAGCAATGAAAGTAAGGAAAAGGAAGCCCCAAGAGATGAAAGGAAATCCTAAGCCCCCCCACGCCCTCCCTCCATGGGTCAGAGGCAGTTTCCAGCTGGAAGTGTTAGGGCTCCCTTTATTAGAGGAGACAGGGTGATTTATGGACATAACAGAAGTATCATGGAAGTTAGGCAGACCCCTGTAGAGCATTCCCACCTGTAGAGCAGGGGACACAAAACTCAGCATCCTTTCACCTGAGGGCATTTGCTCTGAACTTTGGGTGCCTGTAGAAACTCTCAGTTCTTAGAATCTCCCCTAGTGGAATTGTAGTGTCTGGCCTCGGGTCTTGGGAGTTCTCTACATGGAGAGAAGTGAGGGACAGCCACATTGAGGGATCTGGGGTGTGTCTGGGGCTCTGTGCTTCACCTCCCATCCAGCCCCTCTGCATAGATGTCTCAGATGGTCCTAGCACAAAGTCAGAGGGCACCCATTCTCATTTTCATGAGGACAGGTGCTCCCTGAGAAAGTTAGTCAAGGAAGAACTGGTGGTTTATCTCAGGAGCACAGATGTGGGGTATCTGGCAAGTTTCCCCATACTGTGCCGGGATCGGAGCACTGTCCCATGGTTGTGTGGGGGTGGGGAGACCCCCATGTGTTGTGTGAGGATATATATCACCCACTCTGACCTTTTTTCCAGGTCGAACACTGCTGAAGATAAGTTTGTGTTCTGCAACGGACTCGTCCTGCATCGACTTCAGTGCCTTCGTGGATTTGGGGAGTGGCTCGACTCCATTAAAGACTTTTCCTTAAGTTTGCAGAGCCTGAACCTTGATATCCAAGCCTTAGCCTGCCTGTCAGCACTGAGCATGATCACAGGTAAGCACCTCCCTGCGAACCCCAAAAGGACCACCACCCCACTTCTCTCCCATTCTGGGATGTGGTGACTTCTGGCTTTGGCTATACCAGAAAATTAGGAAAATGATCACTGTAACTGTTCTTTAATCTACTGAGCTAAAACCTAATTTTAATGGTGACAGAAACCAGTGAATTAGCATGAACTAGGAAAGATGATTTTTAGAGTGTTGAGTTATTGTTACCTGCAGACTCAGTACATAAGTATCTGTATTTCTGCAAGAGCTTTTTGACAGTGGGTCTAGGGGCTTTGGGGTTTATTTATTGGGGGGTAAGGGGCCTTAGGTGGTGCTCAGAGGTTCAGGGGTCCCACCAGTGATTCTTTTTTTTTTTTGCTTTTTGGGTCACACCCGGCGATGCCCAAGGGTTACTCCTGGCTTATGCACTCAGGAATTGCTCCTGGTGGTGCTCCGGGGACCATATGGGATGCTGGGAATCGAACCTGTGTTGGTCATGTTGGCTGCATGCAAGGCAAACGCCCTACCCGCTGTGCTATCGGTCCAGCCCCCACAAGTGATTCTTGACTAACTGGGATGGCAATAAATTATTACAGGGGCCTAAGGATGTGGTTCTACTCTGACCCTGTAGTGCTGGGGGTCACTCCACTGTACTAGGAGCTCCCCACTATATTTGGGGAACATGTGGTCTCAGAAATGAAAACTGCATTGGCCTAGCCTATGTCCTACCCACTCGTGCTGTCTTTCAGTACTCAGAGCTTATTTTTCCAGGGGGACTTTGGGGGAAGATGATCTAAGCCAGCCTATTTCCCTAGGGTATTGGGGCAAATCTACTTCCTTGTCCCCATTTGGGCTCATGGTTCAAAGACAAATCTAAGAACTATTCACCTTTCTTGAATCACCTGCAATGGCAAAGGCTATAGAAGAAAATTATTCTTTGTCCAGGGCTAGAGCGATAGCACAGTGGGTAGGGCGTTCGCCTTACAAGCGGCCAACATGGCCGACCCGAGTTCGATTCCTCCGCCCCTCTCGGAGAGCCCGGCAAGCTACCGAGAGTATTCGATATGCCAGACACAGTAACAACAAAGTCTCCAATGGAGACGTTACTGGACCTGCTCGAGCAAATCGACGATCAACGGGAGGGCCTTTACCTTTACCTTTACCTTATTCTTTGTCCAAAGCAAATGGGGCTCAACCAGAAACACAAACAAGACGCAGTTTCTTGGAGTTGGCCTTCTCCCTCCTAGATGCCTGTCTCTTTCTGTCCTTTGTAGATCAGATCCCAGGGAAGAATGAGCAAGGAGACTGAGAAAGGCCCAGGGGGTGGGGGGGGGGGGCACCTCCTGTGACTGCCCTGCTGCCTCCTCCCTCCTCCCCTTCACAATCACAGGTTGCTGCCTGAGCTGGTCCTTCCCAGTCAGCCTGGGGTCTGACAAGGCAGTTGTAGCAGGTTAAGACTCCTGGAGAGGACAGCAGGTCGTGGGACTCACCTCCCATTCTTTCCACCTGATCTGAGGACAGGCAAGGCTGTGTGAGGACAACGGGTCATGTCTGACACTCTCTGGGTGGTAGAAAAACATGCTTTTCAGGCAGGTGGTGAATGTAGGCAGAGGACCACATCACATCCTGAGACGCAGAGGGGTCATCCTCTCTGGTGCCTCTGAAATGCATGTTGTTTGCACGGACCTTCCTGTAGGCTAAGGTGAGATGTCGTGTGAGTCCCTGAACAGGTTAGGCTGCCTTGTCACTTACTTGTCTCGGTGATAGTGGAACAAAGGAAGTGATACACACAGAAGCGGGAACCAAGTATGAGCTTATTTCCTTAATATTCCAAGTGGAATACACATTCCTCCTGGTTTTTGGTTCTGGATGAGAAACTCTTTTCTTTTAATAGGGGCTACTAGAGGCTTCTAAGGCAGAAATGAACCAACCCTAAACAAGGGAAAACTTAAGAATAAGATTTTGACTTTGAGAGCTTGCAAGTGGAATAGAAGTATCCCTGATTATCATGGTAGGGGCACAGTCAGATGACTTCAGCAGGACTGTAAAGAATGATAAATGTGGCCTACCCAGTACCTGGCACTCCATATGCTCTCCTGAGCCCCGCCAGGAGTGACTGGTATCAGGCAGGAGTAAGCCCTGAGCACCATTTATTATAGCAGTCACAGGCTATTTAATACAGGCATCTGGGGTGCAGGCACCACTAGGTTTGCCTATTCCCACCTTACCCCTCCCCCCAAAAGACTGGTAGTTCAGAGACCACTGTTGGATAAAAACTCTTCACCTCAGTTTCAAAACCATTCAATCCTTCCAAGGGTATCTAAATATTCCAAACTAGAAATTACTGAGCTGGTAAAATAGTTTAGAGGTTAAGGTACTTATTTGCATGGATGGCCAACCCCCACTGGACCCCTAATACTACATGTGATCCCCCAGTACCACCACGAGTGACTTGATCTGGGTGTGCTAATATCTGGTCTAATATTCCCCCCTCCACCTCCTTCCCCACCCCCCCAAAAATCCCTATAAAGTATGGAGTTTAATTAGTTAAAACAAAAGAAAACACACAACAAAACAAGAGTTGGCCAGGTATTAGTTGCTCATGTGTTTGCTGATGGAGGCAGTCTGGTGTGTGTGTGTGTGTGTGTGTGTAGGGATGAGAACCCACTTCTCCAGGGGAAACGGAGCATGCAGACTCATTTGAGAGATATAGTCCACAGTGTGGCTGCATGAGTAGGTATAAAGTCCTGAGAGATTGAAATGGTGATATTTCCTTCAAAGGAAGTGACTGGAACTGTCTGTGGTAAAAGCCAGAGATGGTTTCAGGCTAAATGGAAGGCATAAGAATCTTCCACTTAGACCAAAACTTGCTAGTCATTAAAAACGAGGCTGTGACTAGTTTTAGGATGGAAACAACTCAAAAACAGAGTGGTGGGAAATGCCTTCGGTTTGGTCAGGCGTGGCTAGGCCTGAAGTACGTTTCACACCTCAGGGAGGAAACTGGACTTGTAGTGTGAGAGCAGAGGGGATGCACAGAGCATTTTGACTAGAAGAATCACGGGCAGACCAATTGTTTAGAAAGATCTCCCCTGATTGATGGTTTTGAGTAGACCAAAAAGATCACCCTGTGGTGGCTTGTTCTACAGTGAAAATGCCAGTCCAGGTGTCAGAGCCATGATTTCAGCCAGGTGTGGGGAACCTTTTTTCTACTGGGACCATTTGGGTATTTATTATACAGGTTATTTAATACAGGCATCTGGGGCGCAGGCAGCTGACGAGAATCATATTTATCTATATGTGTTTGTCCCGACCAGTACTACAACCAGGCTGTATAATTTTGAAGGCCTCATCCCCTGTTTTAAGGCCTCTGTCTTTTATTGTTTGGTTCAGTAAGTGGAAATTCCCAAGATGGTCACTAGTCCATCATTGATAGCCAGTTTAAGCCAGGGTATCCCACCCTGGAGAGATGTGTGGTTTGGTGCGAGAAATAGAGTCAGAATTAGGAGAAGATGGTACCAGGCCTGTTTATGTCTCAGTCTGTGGCATGACCTGCAGTCAGAGCTGGCCTGCCTGTTTCTGGGGAGACTTGCTCAGGGAGAAGTCTGACAAGTAGGGACAGTGGACTCTGCGATGGAGCACCCTCAGGTTCCCCGAGAGGGGTCTACAGCGAACACTTCCGTGCTATGAAATCAGGCCCCTCATCTCTCTAAACTTATTTCCTTCTCATCTATTCTTGTGAAGCATCACTGAGGAGCATAGAAAAAGTCTTTCAGCATAGCCAAATGGCTAAGGAATGCCCTGAAATTGGGCACATGTCTGCCCCTTCCCTGAGCACTGGGTAACTAGTGGTCTGAGGAAGCAGGTGGTGACCTTGGAAAGCAGCATGTCTGTTGACTCTCTCTCCTCAGGAGCTTGAGGGAGAGGCTCAGAGAAGAGTGAGGGGGGGAGGGAATCTAGTCACACTTACCCAGCACATCACTTACCCACACTTACCAGTAGGTCCTATCCCCACACAAAAAAAGTCCCTTCCCTCCTTTCTGGACCCAGTAATACTCTGTGACACGTCTGTTAGATGGGGAACCAAAATGGGTGAACACATATAGAAATGGCAGGGAAGGCAGAGCCAGGGACCATGCTCAAAGGGCAGTGTGCACTCTGGTGGGTATTAATTTGCACTAGATCCTAGAGCATCTTAACTGAGTGGCAGTGATCATTCATGGTGATTGAGGCCTATCAGTTGCACTGTTGGCTTCAGGAAATTCATGTTGAAATGGTCTACTCATCAACCACCTAGACCTCATGAAAAGAAAATGAGGTCTTAAAAGTTTCACTTCGGAGCTGGAGCGATAGCACAGCGAGTAGGGCGTTTACCTTGCATGCGGCCGACCCCGGTTTGATTCTCAGCATCCCATATGGTCCCCTGAGCACTGCCAGGAGTAATCCCTGAGTGCAGAGCCAGGAGTAACCCTGTGCATTACAGGGTGTGGCCCAAAAAGGAAAAAAGAAAAGTCCCACTTCCAGGAAAATGATTAGGAATTTGAACAGTATTGGTAGTTTGCAAAATTACGGCCTTTCCCCTCTGCTACATCCTCCCCCACACTGTACGTTCCTTCTCCCTCCACCTCTCTCCACCATTCTGAAAGAGTGGGCGGCTTTTCCTTTTATAAATCTTCATGTGTTAAATAGTCCTGAGGATCTGCTCTAGGGTCCCAGAATTCATGTATGCAAGGAGGAGCCATACATGAATTCTGCTTATGGAAAACAGAGAGCCTCTGAGGAGTTATATAGCACTGTCGTCCCCGCTGTTCATCAATTTGCTCAAGCGGGCACCAGTAACGTCTCCATTATGAGACTTGTTGTTACTGTTTCTGGCATATAGAATACGCCACGGGGAGCTTGCCAGGCTTTGCCATGCAGGCGGAATACTCTCAGTAGCTTGCCGGGCTCTCCAACAGGGGCAGAGGAATCAGACCCAGGTCCGCTTCATGCAAGCTAAGCGCCCTACCT